CGATTTTGTGGGCAATTTTGTGCCTTTTTAGACGTTTTGGGACTTAATAACCGACATCAGGGGGAAAATAAATCACGTATAATTTGGCATTTGTTGGAAAGCAAGCTGTTTCCACGCCACCAACGAATTCCGGGGAGGGGGGCGACGACAGCGGTTGCATATACTCATAATTTCTCAGTCTGATTGTGTGTTCAACAGCCAGTAACAGCACAATGTCATTGATTGCCCTTGCTCATATCATTTTAAGCTATATTGTTTTACTCTGAATCTATTCCTAACTGACTCTTATAATTGCTGATATTACTGGTGCTAATAGCACCAGATTAACAACGCTATCTAGCGATAGTTAGTAAAAAGGCAGAATTGCCCGTTGTTGCCCGGCTTGTAGCTCCCAATGTTTGTCTGGTATCATAGCATGGTATCATAGCAGAATGGCCCGTTGTTGCCCGGCTTGCAGAGGCGAATGTTTGACTAGCCACAAAAAATCCTATGTTATGGCTATCGTCGACATGAGAAAATAAGAAAGATGTCATTGATTGGACATCAGACACTGCTGTCATTAATTGGACATCAGCATTTACTAAGATAGACCCTCCTGGAGTGCAGAGCTGGGGGCAACATCTATAAATCCGGTAATCAACTATGAAGGCTGTGTTCTGTGACCTTGAGAATCATTCCGTCCTCACTTCTGATGGCAACTGTCAAATAAAGTTGCCCGAATCACCACTTTTGGAGCCCTGGGTTCATTAAGCAAGTTAACATAGTTGATACCTATTAACAATAACATTTCTATTATAAATCGGTCGACAACCTTTCGCCCCTTCTAAAACCCATAAACCTACCTGTAGCTTGAGCTTGAGCTTGAAGAAACGGTGGTATTCATAGACAGCCAAGCTTTGTTAAGTACAAATTGGTTTAAAGGATGTTCGACATGTAGACTTATCAGAAGGGTCACGCCAAAACCGAAAATTATTCCACAGGCCAACAGTCGAAAAAACGCCTTTCTGTCCCCCATGGTGATCGACAATTATGACGACGTTCGGTGAGGCGAGTTTAGTCAAAGTGACCGGGGCGAGGGTGTCCACATGTTTGGTAGAGGGAGAAGGATAGCAAGCCAACCTTTGCTAGGAAATGAGAGATATTTCTAAACAGATCACCGTGTAGAAATAGAGTTTTCAAACATTATTTCATCTAGTTATGTTTTATTCAGAAACCACATCCGTATAATGATTGCCTTTTCTTAATGATCCCTGCGTTAAAATGGACTGCTCCAAAGCTACCTCACGTCTACAAAAATGTCGCTCGACCGGTCCAGGATAAAGGCTAAATATATAATCTTCAGGCTAAATAGCTAAAAGTAAGACGACCTTCATGTGAATTACGCATACAACTTCTTTTTATTAGCATGTTTGGATCATTATACATGCCGCGTTTCTGGCGTTGTGAACTGTGCAGCAGCACAACAACACTATAGTAGACCTACATGGTGTATACAACAACATACTACTCACTGGTAGGTGCCCTTGAGCAGTTTATAACTAGTAAGCGTTTCAGCTTGCCCTTAAAAGCTCACGTTGTATAAAAACAATGTACTTTTATCAAACAGTCAGTAAATAATTAGGATGTATGTCCTGACTACCCACGAAAAAATCAGAGACAGAGGTTTCTTCTGTTATTGCAGCTGACGACAAAGCTACAAGGAGGCAAAATCTATAACTTCAGTAATCAATGACAAATGCTGTGTTCTGTGACCTTGCCACCGTTTAAGGGACAAGTGTGTGCAAATATGTGCATCAGTCGTGTTTAAGCAGAATATTCATTACTCAACAATGATGAAATGCATTGATCACTGTTGATGACTTACCAGCCAACAAATCAAACAGATTAAATCTCGGCCAAAACAAATAAAACAAATTTGGGGTAATTCTGTATCTAGTGTTGGAAGTTAACAAAGTTCAGTCTTTATTTCATAAATAAAACAGATGAACTTTATTGCACAACAGTTGTACAGGATACAAAGTATGGCATCTACTTTCATAAGCCTAACCTAACTAATACAAGAGTGCAATCAAAAAGTGATATTCGTTCTCAATTAGTTCTGGACAACATAAACAAACACTCCGATTGATAGGAATTTTCTGGAATCTTCCGGTTTCTATACTTCATCATCATATTTATGGGTTCACCACACCACGAAGTGAACCCATATTGCTTTTTCTGGTGTTTCTTCTTCTCCTTCTCCTGCCATTTTTTAAATGGATTCAGCTTCTTCATTTTAGGGCCTAAGGTCCTGAAATTTGGTATGGAGGTACAGTGGGCAAATACCCCTAGGCATTTTTAAATTTTTGTGATACGGGCTTTTAGAATGGTTTTATTTGAGTTTTTTTGCTGTGTTATAGCAAATGTATTACTGTGTTAGTGTGCCGTGTTTACCACGTTTGGGCATGAGTCATCACAATGGAATGCAGGGCATCAACCAATAGGCATGCAGCTTTCCTCTATTCTTCTTGCTGATTGGCTGTTGGGATTTAACTTGATTAACACCTGCACAGAGCATTTCCACCTGCACAGAGCATTTCTTGCTGATTGGCTGTTGGGATTTAACTTGATTAACACCTGCACAGAGCATTTCCATACTAACAGTATGTCTGTATTCAAGTGTTTTGGTAGGTATTTCAAGCTTTTCTGCTCCAGCATTGGAATGCGGGGCATGAACGTTTTTTTTTTATTTTGAAAATCAACAGTTTGCATTATGCAATTAAAAATCCTAACCAATAAAGTAGGGAATAGCTATCCAACTGTTGTTTTAGTTGTATGTTACTTCATATTATAGTTATATCAATGTAAATCATTGTTTTCCCTTGTGTTTCTCATTCTTTCCCTGCCATGTCGTAAAATGTGGTGAACCCATCGCTGTATTTGCTCCAAAGCAAATATTGGCCTTTCTAGTTATACTTAGTTTGTGACAGCCAATCCTGAGTTTTGTGATTGCGCTACGTACGTCAAGTTTTTATGTTTGAAAGGTAGTTTTCTTGTTTATAGTGCTTGTTTAGGGTAGAAAGGAAAGTTGGAATTGTTTTGAATAGCGCAATGCCAATTTTGTATGCAAATATCTTGTAGTCATAGTTGAGTAGTGATTGTATCTAAATGGTATGACTTCGGGTCATTAAACCCATGGCATGCAAATGAGGCTCTTATAATTTGCACACAATTACCGTAAAAATTGTATAATTAGTCAGTTTGAACGGTTAACATGATTTGGCGAAGGTTTGAGATCGTGGAACTCTTGTTGTGTATGAAACCTGAAAATCAGTCTCTAGCTTGCATATAACCAACAATATCATACTTTGTCCATGCCATATGGTAAGGATTTCCCCAGTGTGTTGCATGTTACTAAGTAGAGGCCATGTGAATACTTTATATATGCATACACATTTTGCACGGATAAGGATGGAACACATGCAGACCTAATTTGTAACAGACGCCTGAGCAATCTCTGGACACAACAGGGAGCTAAACGTAGACCGTATACGTGGTAAATTTTTCGCGCTTCGGATTGTCGCATCGAAGTGATATGAACAAGTGAAGAAATAAGTTAAATTCCAGGAGAGTCAGAAACAGCTCGCACCAAAGACGTTGGATCCCCTTGCTCGCACAGAGAATTTAAAGAAACTTTATTCTAAACAATTTACATTGTCTTGTAGTTCGCTTCCTCGCGACTTGTCGACGTTCCTGTTCTTTTGTCAGTACTTTCGTCTTGGGGACCACGGGCGAATAATGACAAGATTGTCGCTTTCTTCCTAGACAAACTTTCTGCTGTAGCTTTAGCTGTACCATTAGCTGTAGCTGTCTGGAGGTCGCTAAAACGTTCCCAGACCGCAGTGGACTCCCGAGAGCTTCCAAATGACTAGGGCGTCCATCTTTAAGTCCCATCCGAGAAGACGTACGTAACCGAAATGAGTCGTGTGAGGAAATAGAAGTAAACGGTCCCTTTCCGCTAACAATATTTGACCTACTAGGAATTTGAACCCAGAATCTTCAGATTCCAAGTCAATAGCCCAAATCACCTTGCCAACATATCTGTATCTGTATAGCCGGTATAACCGCCTTTCGGTGTAACACACCAGCTTCGCAGGCACGCGGCGCGGCGGCAACTGGCTATATTGCACTGATCGACCTGTTACACCTAAAATTTGAACTTCTAACCCTAGACATTGTTTAAAGCTATCTAATGATAATGCCCCTACTGTGACAGCGAGTCTCACTCTGCGATACTTCTAGGAAAGAATGAATTCTTGAGCACCTCAATCCTTGGTTGATAGCTCTTTTACTTGAAGGCATGGCTATTTCTTGTTCTCTTCTGGGCTGGTATTAGGTACTTGGTAGTTGGGACGTATAATCAGATAGATACTTGCCTGCCGTCATCACTCTAGAACTCTAGTTTCTATAGATCTAACTATTCCTCTCAACGCCAAGGGTCGCTTTGAAAATAAGAAAGAAGAAGCCCCCCTCCCCATCTTTACGATACATGAAGTACTTTGTATAACGTCATTTCAGTGAGCATTAAGATGTTTGTTTATAAAGGAGAAGTGGATTAGCGTGGGCACGCTTAAGGTACATTCCGTTCCATGAGATGCTGTGACAAATGCAGTGGACACTGCGTTTGATTATCTTTGTTCCATGCACATTATAACTTTACACAAGACAACGTTTTCCATGTTTGCAAAACACTTAATGTTAAGGAATGTATGGTCTGTCGTGCATGTAGAATGTAAACCCTTGATCGAGCAGAGCATTCCGTATCGAGCCAGCCTTTATTTGTAAATATTCCACTTAACGACAGGTGTCGCATTGTATCGCGCAGTAACTTAAGTCATCGGTTTGCAATCTAACAAAAGGAAGGTAAACAAAGCGTCGAAAGTCCGTGTTCAGGAGGAAACTTGTACAGACTTGCTCTCTGAAGAACCGCCTCACAAAGAAAACTTCGATCAATGGTGATTTTCATGGGTTTCTGATCAGAAAAAAGTCACGGTTCACTTCGTATTGTTGAAGCCGGTACGACATTGTGAAGTTAATTAGTTCTCTTTCAAACCATCACCAACGCTCGACTTGATCTTGAATGTAACATAATTCAGTCTATGAATGAATGAGGCGAATAAAGAATGAATGAATACCCCTTTGTAATGTCTCAGAAAGAAGACTAAATCATACAAACATTGTCGGCAAGTAGACTTTGAGACAGCACAATAAAATATGGAGAAAATTTGTCCCTGTTCATTCAAATTTTTCCAGAGTCTTTTGCAAATATACACTACGTTCTGATTGAACGACAATATACGATAGATTCCCTGGATCACTAGATCTCTTTCACATGCCCGGTTCAACTTCAAGCATGCGACCTATTTCGCCACACATATTATCATCAAATCATCCAAGTTTTCATACTAGTATGGAAAAGTAACCTTTGCTCAAGTATTGCTTACAGCTTGAATTTTAAAGATGTCCTTTCAAGGATTCTTCTTGCGGAGGAGGTCCGCGAATTTGTTCTTGTTATCGACAGTCTCCTTTTTGAACGCCCGTTCTATCACCACGCGCCGTCCGTTCTCCACTTCCATCTGACGCTTTCTGTTCGACATGTTCTGTCTCCCGGGCCGGACCCCATCTCTCCGCTGTATGGCGAGTTTCCTGGCGGCCAGCGGGCTGTCGTCCTTTTCACTCACACCGTGCTGATCTATGATATGTTTCAGAATGTGTTCCAGGTCTCTCTTGTCCTTTTCCAGGTCTTCTCTCTCCGCGGCAACTTGCGCGAGATGTCTTTCCACTTCTTCTTTCTCCGTCTCTACCGTCTGTTGGCGACCTTGCGCGATCCTGGCGGCTCTTTCGGCGTCGGCTACCTTTCCGAACAAGTCGTCCCGCTCTTTTTTCAGGGTCTGTAATTTCTCATCCGCGCGATTTTTGGCGTTGTTTGAGTCCTGAAGCTCTCGCTTGGTTTCGGCTAGCTCCAACGTGAGGTCGGCGTTTTCCCTATCCAGTTTGGCGGCTTTCGTGGCGTGGTTGTCTTTAAGAATTCGGACGTCCCTGCACTCCTTTTCCAACCTCTTGACAACCGACTCCTTCTCTTCTTTATACTTCTTAAACTTTGTTCTCATGTTCAGAAAGCGAAGTTTCAGTTCTTCGTACTCCCTTTTCTTGTGCGAAAGTTCCTCTTGTATCTCTTTGAGCAGTACTGTTTTGGCCGTGACGTCACGGTCCTCCTGGTTCTGTATCCTAGCCTGCTGCAGGGCCTCGAGTTGTTCTTACGTGTGCCGCAACTTCGCCTCCAAACTTTTGATTATTTCATCTTTTTTCTTCACCTGTATCTCCAGCCCCATGTCTATTACTTCATCCTTGTTCTTCAGCCTCGATTCTGCATTTGCCGCGGTTGTCTTAGCCTTAGGCAAGGTCTCCAGCATGTCTGCGAGGTAGGCCTGCTTGCAGCCTTGGCGTAGACCGAGGCACAGGGCAGCGAATGCCCTGTCTCCCATGGTCGGCAACATCTCTAACAGCTCCCGAGCGATGTCTCTCCTCGTCCCGGAGCCGGCGTGCAGGATGTCGTCCTCCATAGCAGGAGTGAGGACTCCGAACGAGACGAGAACAGGGAGCACGTACTTGGTGTTCATGTTGTCCAGTAGGGTCGGGTAGTGCCGGCGGAGCTGCGCGCGGTGCTCGGTCGTCATCGGGACGTCCGGCGGAGTCATGATCTCCCGGCTCTCCCCCAATCCTCCTCCCGGACCCCTTCCCTCTGTCAGCTCCTTCATTTCGTCACTCACTCACACACGCTCGCTGGCGGAGACCATACCTTTGAGAAAAAGGTACGCTTCTCCTAGCGTCCCGACTGTGTTTGTGACTACACAGACACCGGGAACCAAGCCCCGCGTTAAATATAGCAACTGACACCCACCGCCAGTCAACCCTGTGTTCAAGATAGAGATCGATGGACCCTGAAAGGAAAGTACCTGGCCCGTGTATCGACACTTGTTGTCCCGTGACAATGGAAGAAAGGTGGCGAAACAAGACTCGGTAGCAACGGGAGGCGTTAGGTTACCTCGGACGAAAGTAGAGAAGGGACGGCGTTTTGATAGCAGCAGCGAATGTGTATATTGAGCTATTCATGGCAACAAGCCCTGGCCATGGTTGCTAAGGGTTCCTTTTATTACCGCGAAGGAAAGGGGTTAATCACAGAAAGCAAATATAACAAATCTGTACAAGTTCATACCGCAGAAAAGGCGGATTTGTAGACTATACAGTCGATAAATGAGCTGAACAAAAGGCAAACGCATATAGTCTCCAATAAGTTGGCGTTGTTTTATTTTGTGCGTGAATTTGAGCCATCCTGTACAAAAAGTCTAGTTTTGCTCGTACAAGGAAAAGTTTGTCAGTTAAGGGGATGATTCTGGATTTCAGTTGTTAACTACGCTCTAGAGATTTCATCATATCTCGTATCTACTTCCATGTGCTTTCTTCACCTCGCAACAGATCTAGAACAGATCGCGGTAACGTAACGCAACACAAACCCACCGGCATGTATAAAGTTTCGCGCTGAATATTTATAACATAGTGGTTTGCTTGCAGTAAGACCAAAACTCTCGCCAACGAGTCTAGATCATGACAGTAGCCTGGTCGTTATGCGTGTTGTAGAGCAGCTAGACGGTAATTGATTTATTTGATAATTACTTGATCGATCGATTGAATAATTACTTTTGTATAGAGTTGTTTGATTGATTAAGTGGCTGGTGTGTCGGGAGCGCATTCTAAGGAACGTTCCATTTGGATGGGTTAGAGGGGTGGATGAGTCTAATAACAGCTAGCCTAATAAAGCTCCCGGGGGCCTTACGCGTAGTGCAGGTAAAGGTAGCCCCATAGCCTTTTGAGGCCATAGTGGGTTGCTGATCCATTGTGTCTAAGACATGGTATTAGAAGGCCTTCCCTCTCCTACCCTCGACTTTTACCTCCCCAACCGATTTCATACTTGCAGAATGTACGTGAGCATCGTTTAACATAAGTTATGCAAATCAGAACATTGTTAAGACAAGACTGTTGTTGCGTAACATCTAGTCTGTCGTTTGCGTGTAAAATAAAATTAACCGATATGATTCATGCAAACGAGGGTCTTATTTACGTAATCAATTAGAAACACCCATCATCCGTCAGTCGTTAAGGTTACGACTCATTTGTCGATGGTATGAGGTCGTGGAACTCTTTTCTCAGCATGGTACATGACTAAATGTATATGTGAAAATTGGTAATGAGTGACCTGCTGTGAGTTACTTTAGTGCCCTATATTTCATGTGTTATCTGTCGCGCCGTGACAGTTTGTTGTGTCGTACCGGTCTTGCGACTTTTTCCAGACTAAAAGGTGAGATAGAATTGAACTTTGGGGGTCGGTATGTATGCCTTTATCCGACGTTTTAAGTTTGAGTCATTCGTGCTCGGATGAGTCTAGCTCAACGCAAACCGTATTCTGTGGATGTTACTTAGAAAACAATGCGCTAGGCCAGGGATGTCTTTTAAAGTTAACCTTGTGACAAGTAATTTACGCAGTTCTAAATGCGTCTGTAATCTCCCATGCAGACCCCGAATATCGGCTTTGGCGTTACTATCTTGGCACCGGTATCCTTGGCACTACTGCCCCCGGCATGGCGGCACTTTTGACCTTTTATACCTCCATGAAATGGAAGGTATTGTTTTTGGCGCGTCTGTGTGTGTGTGTGTGTGTGTGTGTGTGTGTGTGTGTGTGTGTGTGTGTGTCTGTGTGTTTGTGTTTCCGCACATTTGTAGTCAGCATAACTCCATAACGCCTTTATGGATTGCGATGATATTCTTTGTTATGTCTGGCCCTGGCCGAAATGACTTCAATGAAAAGTGGGCAGCAGGTCGATTTGAGCTTTTCATGAATAAACATAGATACAAGAACTCGGAGATCCCATACCTCCATGAAATATGTAGAGTTTATGTAAATGTTTTTTTTTGTCTCATTGATTATGGAAATAAGGTTGTAATTACCATAATCTAGTTTAATTTATGGTTTTCCAAACTCAAATTACAATATTTTGCTTGTGAAATTCCTATCCTTTGGCAATATTTCAATTCAACATGTACTGATTACTTACGCAAATGGCCTCTGTATTAACATAATATATGCATAGTTATGTTAACCTTTAAGTAATTTACACATGTCACAAGGTATAAAATTCCCATCATTCATTCACTATTACGAAATCACAGAATTTTCACATTAATTATGAAAATTAGGTCTTTATTTGCATAATTGGTATCTGTTGATGTTCCATCTGCCGTAGATTACATACATTACATGTATTCAACTACCGTTATGTAAAACACTGTAATCACAGAATTTCCTCGTTAATTATGCAAATTAAATCTTTATTTCTATAATTTGCATTTAGAAAAGAACATCTCTATATGCTACCTTCATCCCAAGAATGACGAAAATACGTTCTTGTCCTTTCTGGACTTATCCGCTTTAAAAGATTTCACCAGAAACTCCCCTGAAGTTCCAGAACAAGCTGCTAGGGGGGGGGGCAAAACCCACACCACTTATCCCTGACAGGAAAAGCTATCTGTCACCAAAAATCCAATACCATAGCATGTTCAGGACAAAAGATGCAAAAACCAAAAGTTCTGCTGCAGTACTAAGGTCAGCCATCAGGAGGCTCATGTTTGACCTTGACTTTGTCTTTCTACGACCTACAAACATACCAAAACACACACACACACACACACACACACACACACACACACACACACGCACATACAGACAGACACACCAAAAACAATACCTCCATTTTTCATGGAGGGAATAAACAACATCTAGGTTGAGACAACGACATTGCCACCCCTTGGTAGAGTATACATGTGCGTGACTAGTGTACCAATCAGAGCGGGTACGTTTGTTTGTTTGTTTACCTCTCAGCAACGACAGATCCCAATAAAGCATTTTAAAGAGTTTCACATTACATGAGAAACTGAAGAGAGTGCTTATAGATAGCATTTTTGTCATTCAGTTTGACAAAAACTCCAGGACCAGATTTAAACCACGAATCCAACAAATTTGGGTCAAATCATGGTGACCCCGAACACGCCCCGAACACTGCTGACCTACTCTCGTATACCAGCCAACCACAGCTGAACCTGCCGTCCACACCCAAATGTGTGCCGCAGCCGAACAGTAGCCGACCTTGCCGACCACCAGCCAACCATAGACGTTAACCGTTGTGATCGGTTGTGGTGTTTATAAGTATACCGGCGTCCAAGGGTGGTTAGGCATGGGGGAGTTCGGCAATGTCCGGGAGGCCATAATCTACGTGTGACTTATGACAGGGGCTTTTGTCTCGACCGGTCGCCGCTCCCTTGCCAGAGGTTGCGCGTTCATTCAGGTGTTGATAATAATTCGCCGTATAGCACTAGTAAGTTCAAAGATCATTCAGTCACAGACACCGACAGGGGCTTCTACGGGATAACAACTGTGCTCAACCGTCTGTCCTCCTATTCTCTTAAAAAGGTAAGACAACTTTTATACCTCTATAATGATTATACGATTAATGAATTCATGAGGGAGGGAAGCACCAAGGAGGTATTTAATGCGGAAAGGCTTATAGTCTGGTCCAAAAATGCCCATTGCAGTAAGCCCGGTATTGGCGGACGACATTGGACTTGTATCCAAATCTGAAGCTGGACCTAAAGAATGCCTGCGAATACTCGGCCAATTTTATTTCTTTTTGAAGTTGTCAATAAACAAAGACAAAACACAGGGCCACAACATAAAAATTACAAATCACTACACATGTCTAGGAGTAGATGTAACCCCGTCAGGTTCATTTAATCGAGTTATAAACAACTTAAGAAAGCTTTAAGGGCTTCATTCAGACTAAAATCCCTCTTATTTTCAAATACAAATAAAAAACTACTTCCATCCCACTTGCCCTCGACCCGTTTAACGTACACTTTATCGCAATTATGAAACTCGCCAAAACTCTCGATTACATATTACTATTTAGAACCGCCCTGAGCCAAATGAGTTTAAAATTTAAATGTACCTCTATTACAACATTCAAACGTAAGCTCTAATATCATCCAATCCCCTGCACTTCTGATATTCTTTACGGTACACATTCGTTATAGTATTAAGCTCAATTGCCCGGAAGCGACCTCGCCGTAGACTGTAGCGGTTGACACACGGTGGGACTGGGATGTGGCACTCGTTCAGGGGAGAACTGCTGTCCTGAAGAATGTTCCGTAATGTTCTCAGTGTGTCTGTGTCACATCTACTAGACAATTACAAAATAGCACAAAAAGGACGATCCCATAATTGTCACCCGACCCTTTTTTGCGCATTCCACAGAGCCAAACAACGTTCGGGGCATTCTGGTTTAAGGGCGTTGTTCTGGTCGACTAATATCACGGGTTGTTTTTCCAGGAATAGGTACAATAGGCACATTGAAAATCACACCGAGGGTAAACGTTGGGCGTTAGGTTATTCGTTGCCCTACCTTTCTGCGCATTCCAAGGCAAACAAGTCGGTCTTTGACTGGGCGCCAAGATCTGATCACAAATCCCCCAACATATATCACATAACAACCGATAAGCTACCACATAACAACCGCAAACTCTGATTTGATTTGATTTGATTTATTAGAATTGTAACATGTGCAGTACAATACACGTGGGGCACAGGCAGCTGTGGCTGGTGTTGTGTCCCACACATAAAATACTCTGAAAACTCTGGAACCACGGAATCTCAGTAGTTTAGCGACTATCGCTTGCATGGAGTGGGAGAGTCACTGCAGCCTCACGGTTTCCAGGTGTTTGTCGTCCTTCAACGGGCCGCTAGGGTCGCTGTTGAACCAGGCTACTTTGAAATGCCGTCGCTGGAAAGCACTTTTGGAGATGCCTCAAAAACTTATTAAGTAGTGGGAAAGTTTAGGAATTTTGTGACATTGGACGAAGT